AATTGCCACTGACAGCGGTAGGCACCCCGCTGTGGGGTGTCACACTTGCAAAGAAAGAAGATGGTTTACCAGTGTGGGTAGCATCCACTGAAGTCTGGTCAGATTTCATCACCCAGAAATATAGACACATGTTAATTTGTATTCAGATATTTACATACATACATATATTTATATTCATACACATACATTGCTATCTATTCTAAGGTTTAACTCATAACTCAATTAGTTTATGAAATAATACTAATGAACTCAAAGCTTATAGACATATGTGTAACTTGGTAAAAACATATGTACACTTATAGGTGGTGATCACACCCCTGGTAAGTCTGACGTAGACACCCAAAATAGCAGTCTCTTGGTTGACTATTGTGGTCCTGACGCCACCTTAGTTCAGGTGTGGGTGCCATGGGAGCTCCCTCAATGGCCCCGGGGCTCTACTCCTGATCACAGCTGGTGCCTATGCTCAGCCTCCTGTAATACATAGACAACCTTCTCACCACAACACCCTTTTATGCCCCTCAGACAGGGCTGGTGGATCTACGGTCCTGATTGCTCACTCCCTCAAGACTCCCCACATGAGGGTCTACTACAAGAGGGGAGGGCTATGCCCACTCTTTCACTCCCAGCTCTGGGTGCTCCCCTTTTAGTCAGAGCCAGGGCTTGCCTCTGGGCTCTGCTTGCTACCCTCACTCACCTTTCTGGTCCCCCAGTGAGATCCTTGCAGTCTTCTTGCAACAGTTTCTCTCTCTGCCCCCAATCGTCCCCAGCTGTCAACCTTCCACCCCAGCCCCTGGCAGCCACCAATCCTGGCTGCAGAAGTCTGGGGGCTCTGAGAAGGACCCTGTTTCCAGGGCCTGAAGCCAGAATTTCTTCAGTTCTTTTGTTCTGGTGTCCTCAGGGGGACAAAGAAATCTCTCAGTCTCAGCCTGGTTTTGGCTTACCATGGGATGCCCTCTACAGGTGAATATCCCTTCTATTACAATATGTTACACACGTATGAGTCCAGATGGTTCTTGCCAAATCTGCCAATTCCTATATTTACCAATTTCAACTAATTCTGACAAAGATAAATTCTGTTTCTGTAGTGCAATCAAATTGACAGAAACAGGTATCTTGGCAGATATCTTAGACACTGGAGCAAACTCAACAGTGTGTGGCAATTGTCACACTGAACTCATGCGTGTTTCTTCCTTTGTAGTGGTATCAGCTTGATTGTTCAGGACTGCATCCATGGTTCCTTTCCTGTGTGCCTTTACTTTTCCCAGGTGTACAGGTGTGTCTACATTGTGCCAGGTGCCAAACATACCTTAGGAGATCCTAGTGCTTGATTGCCTTACCACTGGAACTGCAAAACCCGCACAAGTTCCCATGGGAGACTGGTGCCTCCTGAGTCAGGGGGGCACTTCCCCCCCCCAGGAGACATTCAGCGACTGGGGAAGTTCCCCCCCATAGCCGATCCTGCAGGATGAGGGGAGGGAATGTTCTCCATGGCTGATTCTGCCAACCCACAACTGCAGCAGTGTGCTGCTGACACTTCAGGCCATGCTTCTGGCACTTTTGGGACCGCTTCTCCTGGCGCACTCCCTGGCCAGCGCTCTCAGGGGGGCACCAGTGCTTTCACCTGCCCCCCGCCTGCCTGAGAACGCTATTGTCAGGGGGTGCACCTGCAATTGCACCCCTGTGCATCCCTTATGTGTTGCCACTGCCAGTTCCATACAGGCAGCCAGTCCGATAAAGCATCCAGTCTAATAAAGAGAAAATCACACGTGATTGATTATCGGTCAAGTTTTCTATCTAGAGCTACAATGATTGCAATGGTTTTGGCAGCTCACACAGAGTTATAATTGCATCTTCCCTGAATTCCCCTTATGTCCTCACAATTCTGGACCTGAATAGCTGCATAGCCTGTGAATTGTTGACTATTGATAAAATAGCAGCAGTAAACCAAATCATGTCAAAGTGCAAGTATATATCCTAGTTATAAAGTGCTCTGCTTACAAAAATCTCTGGTTCTTCAGGTACTGTGCTAAGTAAGGGACATTCATGATTGTTATTGTCTTCTATTATTAAGCCATAAGGCATCACAGGTTCCTCTTTAACTAATTTAGTGTCTACATTTCTATTAAGTAGTGTAAGAGGCCACTGTGCTATCCATGGCAATGACACTCCTGACTTTTATCTTGCCTGGCATAATATACTTCATGGGCATGCACATAGTTTTTAAAGTGAGTTTAGCCATACCAATAATGAAATTCCACGTATTAAGTGCCCAGACTAGGGTCAGAATCTCCTGCTCGCAAGCAGAGAATTCTCTCTCCATTGGAATTAAAGGGTGGGATGCAAAAGCCGCAGGGTTCTGTGCAGTGCCTAAATTCTGACTTAATATAGCTCCGATGCTTGTGCTAGTTGTAGTGAGCTCCAAAATAAAAGGTCAATGTACATTTGCATAGATAAGTGCAGGTGCATTCATTACACTTTTCTTTAACTTACAGATGGCAAATCTTTCTTCTCTACCCCAGCTCCAAGGGACTCCTTTGCACAGCAGTCTGTATAGAGGTGCAGCACTGTCTGCAAAGTCCTCGATAAAGTCCCTTAGAAAGCCCACGAGATCTAGAAAAGATCTTAAGGTAGACGCATCTGACAGGTATAGGAGCTTTGTAATGAGCTGTACTCACTGTTTGTCAGGACACCGTCCCTCAGGACTAAAGCTTAAGTCCTAGATATTTTACAGTAGTCTGTGAAAATTGTACCATCTAAGGATTGATCTTAAAACCTGTTGACTCAATAATGTGCAGAACCCTGGCAGTTCTTTCAATACATTCCTCCCTGGTAGAACTAGTGATTAGGATGGCATCAACATATAAAAAAACATGATTACAGTCATCCTCAGTTAGTTCATCCAACATCTTTGTCACACATCTATGGCAAATAGACAGCACTACTGACCTGTGTATTGCCGATTTTGAAAAGGGAATGCAAATTTGTACCAATGTTCATGATTAACAGGGATTGCATAGAATGCATTAGCTAAGTCCAACACTGTAAACCACTTAGCTCCACTAATTATCTGACTCATGAATGAGGAATTCAACTTGACTGGATTGACAGCGACCTGGTGGGATGATACACATGACTGGGCACTAAATATTGAGGATTACAGGCTTTATAGAAAGGATTGGATTGGGAAGAAGGGAGAAGGTGTGGCCCTCTGCGTGAAAAAGCAGTACCCCTCCCTGCAGGTCACCTATGACAACGGGGAAGGGTCTCTTGAGACCCTCTGGGTCAGGCTACAAGGAGGACCAGGAGAGGGAGACCTGATGGTGGGAGTCTACTACAGGCCTCCTTCCCAAGAGGAGGCGAGCGATCGAGCATTCTTAGCTGAACTGAAAGAGGCAGCCAGCACTAGAGATATGATCATCATGGGTGACTTCAACTCCCCAGACATCTTTTGGGAAGACCATTCAGCCACCTCCAGCAGGTCAGCCAACTTCCTGGCAACAACAGACAACCTGTTTCTGATACAGGTTGTGGAATGGCCTACCAGGGGCAAGACCACTCTGTATTTAGTGCTGATCAAAGGGGAGGATATCATAGGTGACCTGAGGATTGGTGGTACTCTGGGCAACAGTAACCATGACTTGATATGGTTCACCATCCACCGTAAGACTGGGAGTTTAGTCATCAGAACAGAAGTCCTGAATTTCAAGAAGGTAGATTTTGGCAAACTTGAGAGGCTTATTGGAGAAGCCCTCTGTAACTGGCAATTGGATGATTTAGGAGTGCAGGAACAATGGTGCTTCCTTAAGGAGGCAATTCTCATGGCTCAAAAAGTCCATCCCAACATGGGCAAAAAGTGGGAAAGGGGCCAGGAGGCCACCCTTGGCTCACTAGGGATATTAGTGACCTACTGAAAAAGAAAAAAGAAGCATATAGGTAATGGAGGAACGGCTTAGCAACCAGGGAGGAATACACCTGTATCACCAGGACCTGCAGATACAAGACAAGGAAAACTAAGGCAGGCATGGAGATCAAACTGGCAACTGGTATAAAAGACAACAAAAAGTCCTTCTACAGATACATAGGGAGCAAGAAAAAATTGGGCTCACTGTGGAACCCCTACTGAATAACCAGGGGCAGCCCACAGTTGACGCCTGCGAAAAGGCAGAACTCCTAAATACATACTTTGCATCTGTGTTCCTGACCAGAGGCCCAGGGAACAGGGGGAAGGTAACAGCCTACATGAAATCAGCCCAGAACAAGTGAGGGATCTTCTACAATGCTTGGACATTTTCAAGTCTGCTGTGCCTGACGACCTGCACCCAAGAGTCCTGAAAAAACTGACTGAACTTATAGCAGTGACACTGGCCAAGATGTTTGAATAGTCGTGGAACTCAGGAGTGGTCTTGGACGACTGGAAGAGGGCCAATGTGGTGCCCATCTTTAAGAAAGGGAAGAGGGATGACCCCACAAACTACATACCAGTCAGTCTGACCTCATTCTTGGGTAAAATCTTTGAAAAGTTGGTTAAGAAGGCCATCAACTACAAGCTGGTAATGGATGGGATGCTAAAAAGCAACCAGTACGGCTTTGTTAAGGGTAGATTATGCCTGACAAAACTTGTGTCCTTCTACGAGCAGTTAACTAACTATTTGGATGAGGGACATGAGGTTGATGTAATCTACTTAGACTTCAGTAAAGCCTTTGACTCTGTCTCCTGTGGGATTCTCTCTAACAAACTGGAGAGTACTGGGCTGGACCAGTCTACAGTGAGGTGGGTGGACAACTAGCTTAGAGCGTGGTGATCAATGGGATGGCCTCATCCTGGAGGGCTGTCTCCAGTGGTATTCTCCAGGGATTGGTGCTTGGACCTGTGCTATTCAATATATTCATTATTAACTTGGATGAGGGGGTGGAAAGCACAATGATTAAGTTCACAGATGATACCAAGCTCTGGGCAAAATGCAGGATGACCATGACAGAATGGATTTATGGGCAAAATGAAATCAGATGAAGTTTAACAGGGAGAAGCGCAAGGTCCTTCACCTAGGTAGGAAGAACTCCCACCACAAATATACAATGGGCGGTGGTCCACTGCCTGGCACGGCATCTGAACAAGACCTGGGAGTCACGATCGACTGGAAGATGAATATGAGCCAACAGTGCAATGAGGCTGCCAAAACGGCAAACAAAACTCTGGCATGCATCAGCTGATGTGTGGCCATTAGATCCAGGGAGGTACTCCTCCCTCTCTATTCAGCATTGGTGAGGCATCAGCTGGAGTACTGTGTCCAGTTCTGGGCACCGCACTTGAAGAAGGATGTGGATAAGCTTGAGAGGGTACAAAGAAGGGCCACCCATTTGGTTAAGGGGATGGAGGGTAGGTCCCATGAAGAGAGACTCCAGGAACTGGGCCTGTTCAGCCTGAGGAAGAGAAGGCTGAGAAGTGACTTGATAGCTGCCTGCAAGTACATCAGGGGGGAGTATCAAGAACTAGGAGAGCAACTGTTCAGGAGGGCACCTCAAGGGAGGAAAAGAACCAATGGGCATAAACTAATCGAGGGTAAATTCAGGTTGGATATAAGGAAACACTTCTTCTCTAAGGGTCACCAGAATCTGGAACACAGTCCCAGAGAGGTGGTGCAGTCACCCTCCTTGGAGGTGTTCAAGATGAGGCTGGACAGACACCTTGTCACGGCCAACTGAGCCCAGTTACTTCCTGCCCATGGCAGGGGACCAGACTTGATGATCTTACAGGTCCCTTCTGGTTCTATGTTTCTATGATTCTATGATTCTACACACAACAGGAGCAGACCATTTCCCAACTAAGACAAGTTCAACACCAAGACATGGCAGGTAAGAATCGTGCAATCACTGCTGGGTGCAAGAACTGGGTGAGTCTGCGTCCCCATGGCACAATATCACAGGGTGCAGAGCCATTGGGCCCCACGGGCCTATCCTATATTGCACTTCCAAAGAGTATGAAAGAAAGACTGGAGGCAGTCCAGCATTTTGAAGGCATTACCAGAGTCGAGTTGAACTGTTTAATAGAATTGATTCTATTAAATTCCTACAGAACTGGGGTTAGAAACTGTAAATACAGTTTATTGACAGGGTTGCAATACATTTGATATAGAACTTCTGCATCATAGCATTGTTGTTTATTCTTGCAACTTTAGCTCATCCCACTGATCCAGTATGTGCACACAACAATCATAAACGGACAGCCATCTAGTGGCCAATAGCTGAATGAGCTTCAGTGGTGTGTCACCGTGATTAATCAGTTGGTATATCTTTGCATATTCATGATGTCTCAGGGAGCTGTGAGAGAATCGGTTGTAGGAATGTGAGACTAAAAGCTCTAGATTGTGTGACAGTGTTTCTGCAGCTTTACTGACACAGAGCTGTATTGAGTGACATACACATTTGATAAGACTGCGATTTTCTTTCCTTTGCAGGACATGTGTATAAACAGAATTTTTCCTCCTCACTGTGATGCCACAGCCATCGTCCCAGCCCCAATACACCTGCTGAAATTCATACCCACACTGTCAAAAAACTGAATCAGTGCTGTGGCAATTGTTTCTGCTGTTTCACTTTCCAAGCTGGCTGGGTATTTATACACATACTTTTTTTCCAGCAACATGCCGGAGATCTGCCACTTCAGAGCAGACTCGATTAATTGAGCCTGCTCCGTACATGAGCTGAGGTGAACTGCACTGCACCACATGTAGTTGTATAAGCGGCAAGATGCAAGTCAGCATGCAGAAAATGGCAGTAGTGCACTTTTGAATTAAAGCACCTTCGACATGTTTTAGTTCAAAAGCGTGCCGCTATTTTCTCAGCGCTGAGGAGCATTTTGCTGCTTATACAACTTTTCAAAGCACCCAGCACTGCAACACATACATGTGAAAAAATGCCCACTAAGCCCAAAAATGCAGAATTTTTTTTTTAAGGAGAAGCTGAAGTAACGCAGTACAATGCAAAGCTGCCTTACCACAAAAATGTCTGTGCTTTCATCTCTAACAAGTGAATACTGAGATTCACCAATGTCTTTGATTAGGGCAGAGAACATACAGGGAGCAAAAACATTGGTTATTAATGCCATACATTTTGTCCTATGCAGACTTACATCTTTCTTGATGATCCGATAAGTTCCCTGAGGTCATCCATGGAATTAACCGCTCAACGGCAGCTAATGTAGCAGGCCAGGTTCAGCTCCGCTATATGCATCACAGTTGAAGGTTTTGATACCATAAATCTGACATCTGTCAGGTGCATAGAAGGAAATGGCGTTGCATTTTTTAAATGTTTGTCAGTCCGCGTGTGTTGTACAAGGTCTACATGATGTGCGCAAATCCCGGTTTTACAGAATTTGCAAGCAGCTTTGCTGTCGTCATCGATTGCAGGCTTTATTCAGTCTCTCAAATCCTTTTCTTTTTCTCACTCTGTTGTATTTCTTTCCATATTTTGCCCCTTTTGTTGGCAGCATGTTGATCTTCAATTGGCTTAGCCTCAAAATGGCATCTAGCACGGAACATTGTGAAGCAATGTATGAAGCAAGTGGACAAGCAGAAAAGTTCTTGAATTTGGGTGTGTTTTCTTAATAGGACGAAGGGTGATAGGATGAATCTAAAATTCTAATGACATGCATATACGTCGCTATGCCAGTCACCAAAACCACTCCTACAACCATTTTTAAACTACAACTTTTTTAAGTCACCTATTACAAAAAAAGCCCAAAATAAGCAACATCCAAATAAAATAAACCCAGAAAATCATAACTCATGACTCAATAAATTAAAGCAACTTTTTAAAAAAACAAGCCCAATTCTGCTTATTATAAGCACACTTGGCAACCTTGCTGATGGACAGGAAGTATCAATTGTAACAGGCACCAATCAAATGCAGGTGCGCACATCTCTCTGTGCACTCAGCACTCTATCTATCCATAAAATGTATCATTTTTACCTCACTCAGGGGCTCAGCTCAATCCTTTACTGTGTATGCTCCATACACAGTAAGTAGGTCATAACATCGACCTGGAGGTCACTGGCTAGGACGCGTTTAAAAGCGTTGAGACACCCATGCAGTGTTGCAACACCCATATGGGAGCTGGCAACCTTGCTGATGGACTGTCAATCATAAGAGAATAAAACACACACAAGTTAGAGCACAAATATTTCTTATCACGTCCTAGGCACAGGATTGCTTCCAGAGCATGCCCAGCTCATGCCTCCTACAAACAGAGCTGGTAGGCAACATTAGCAAGCCCTTCACTCCGAAGGCAGGGTCTTGTGGGATCTGTCTTGATTCTTGACTTCTTTTCTGAATACAGGCCACAAGCCTGAAAGCAGAAGAGACCCTCACTCCGCTCCCAGCTCTGCCCCTGCTGGAGCCTCAGGAAGCTTTTCCTAAGGACAGGATCCTTACCTGCTCACTCTTGGGTGAGTGATTGCAGAAGAAAACCCTCACTGAGGCAGGTTCTCATGTCGGTCTCCAGCCAGCATCAGTCAATATTGCACGAACATGCATGAAATACTCGTGCCCCTGGACCTTGATTTCAACGAGGTAATGAATCCTCATCAGGTGTAACTGATCCATGTTTGTGCTTCAATTCTGCACGTCTTTCAAATGGAGGAGAAACCACATTTCTAGGTTCATGAGGTGGGGCAGCTTGGCTAGGCCTGGCTTTGTTTCCTCCCTCTGGTCTTTAAACAGGAACAAACAACCCTAAAGAGAAAGGTATTGATCAGTTTAGGACCACTTTTGGCCTGAACACAAACTTCAGGATCAGGTCCCATTACACTGCCAGGTCCTTTAGCTGGTGGAAATCCCACCAAGTCAGGCTGTGTCTCCCTGGGACACCTCATCCAGGAGCAGGATGGCACTGGGCCCAGCATGTCTTTCAAGACTTACTCTGACAATCCATTCAGGCAAGAGGCCTCCTCTCTACAACCTACGTTGGCAGCACTCCCCCATAGCCAACTTACCTATCTCTCTGCAGACACAGGGCAGCCAGCAGCACCATTTCAGTATCCGTTTGCAGCTGCCTGGAATCCCATGACGCCAGGGCTATGATACCAACGCTGCCAAGGCAATGTATGGGGGTGAGTTCCACCCAGTCCCTCCCCCACAACTAGCTCTGCAGGCCCCTCCATCCTCCAGGTCAGCATTCATTTCCACCTTGGCCCACTCTCCATGCTGCCATGGATGTCCCTCTTGTCAGGACTACCCTAGTGGACTACACCCTATACTTAGCTGGGGGAGTCCTACCATGACCTAACAGAAAGACAGCTCTATTCCTTGAACATCCTCTAACCCTTATCCTATCCTTAAACATAGCTCATGCTGTTGGAGCAGCCCTAAGTGTGGCTTCAGGCAGGGGACCCCAAGCAAGCTGGATACAGAAACTACCTGGAACAAGAGAAACCCCCACTGGAACAAGAGAAACTCTTCCATCCTCCAAAATCTGACTCCATACCTGGGAGCCCTCCCATCCCAGCCCCTAGGTGGCAAAGCCCAAGGTCCATCCCACTTGCTATTATCAAGGACTGTCCTACCAGCCTATGTCCTAAACATAGTGCCAGGAGTCCTATCACCCACAACCAGAAAGACTGCTCCAATCCTTTCCCATTTTCTAACCCTAGCCCTAACCCTAATGATAGCTGGAGCAGCTCAGATCCTTACGTCAGACAGTGGACCACAAGCAGCCTGACTACAGGAGGTACGTTGGAGTGCCTATAAACCCCCGGTCCTAAATCAAATCTGGAGAACCTTAGCTGCCACAATCCACACTGGAATAAGAGGAACCATCATACCCCCAAGCTGGACCCCATCTCTGGGACTCCTCCCACCTACAACCCTAGACGAGTGGTCCCAGTGTCCATCCCACTTACTGTGATCATAGACTGCCTTACCAAGCCACGCCCTGACCATAGTTCTGAGAGCCCTACCACCCCAACTGGATAGACTTCTTTAGTCCTTGCCCATTATCTAACCCTAACCATAACCCTAAACCTAGCTCAGGCTGCTGAAATCCTATGTGTTAGCACTGTGTAGTCATTAAAACTGCTTTAGGATGGATACTGGTAGCAATCTTGGTTCAGCAGTGTGGAGCTCAATATGGGCAGAAAAACTCTTCGAGAATCAGGGCCTGTTAGATATACCCTTAATGACATGCTGGGGTCACAGAGAAAGGCTGTAATAAAATAAGTCTCTTGGTATTTGAAAGCCCATTCTCTTGCCTCGGTGAGTGTTAAGCCAGACCCTCAAGTGTTCACCTTCTACCATCATGGACCATCCCCTTGTATCAGCAGAGGGGCCAAGGCATGAACAAGCCCAACGGATTCAACTTCTCAGTAAAGGATGCATTTTCAGATCATAGTAAGTGTCTATGAGGAGGGCAGCATAGAGACCCTATGTTGTCCAGGTTATGTCTGTTCTGCTGAGGGACAGCTTCTGGCCCCAGGGATTTTCTGTCTTCAACACTGAGATCTCTTTATTAAAAAAATGAGCAGGAAAAATAAAGAAAGAGAAAGATTGTCTCAAAATCTTCTGCAGCACTTCCCTATCGTTAACCTAGTTTCTCTGACTCTTGTTTCATCCCCAGTCTACTACCACTGTCCTTTTGCTCTGTTCCTGGCCCATTTCTTTACTGTAGGCCCATCCTTGAGCCTTGCATCACTGTAATTCTGGCTGGGCCTGGGAACAGAAATACAGAATGATCGTCACAGAGGATGTCTCCATGGTTTTTTTTAACCAAACCAAAACTGGCACTCAAGAGGGGACGCTAGGTCCCACAGCATGTCTGGCTCCTTACAAGCACCCACACAATGCTTCTCCAAAGGTCTGTGGATGCATCTCAACTCACCCACTGAAGTGCAGGGGAAAAAAAGTGATCATGGCTGACGTCCTTTCCTCCAGAAGGAAACTTCCTAGCTCAGTATCACAGCAGCCCAGCCTGAGACACTTTATTCCTTAGGAGTCCTACTGGAATTGGTTCCTGTAAGCATCCAGCCACTGTGGCTTCATTTCTTGTATTTTACTCATATGGGCATTTATAGATGTGCTCTGGGAGTGGAGGGGGAGAGGGGGCTTTAATTAGAGCAGCTCCAAGAGCTGCTGTGATTGAAGTGCCCAGAGCATCACGTGAATCAACATCCCCACACTGAAAAATAGCAGCGGGGGTGCTTTAACTAAAGCTCATTGAACAAACTTTAAAGTGCCCCTACCAGTATTTTTCAGTGTGGAGATGCTGCTACACGTGACGTTGGGAGTCTGCTGGATTGCAGTAACTACCATTCTCCAGCATACTCAATTAATTGAGTCTGCTCCAATGCGCTGTCATTACAGCAAACTCCAAGCACAACTCAGTGCACACAAACCTCCCACCTCTCATTAAAAAACAATCAACTGTTTAGAGCGATTCAAAGTTCCTTAAGCAAGGCTGGAAAGTCAGCACATCCTCAGCTGGGATTCTATTAATCAGCTGGGATTCTATTAATCAGCTGGGATTCTATTAATCAGCCACTTCATTAAAGTGGCTACAAGAGAAACTGTTTTTGGTTTCTACCAACCTGACCCTGTTGGATGAACTCTGAGGCTCTCATCCTTTGCCGACCTCCTTCCAGTAGCAAATAAGAAATGGTTGATTTGCTTTTGCTGCGGCTCTTTCTGAACCCACTGGGTTATTTATTCCAGCTATTAAGCCTGCCAATGTAATGAGTGTAAATTTCAGCTACTTCATTAGTTTGACCATGTTCTATCCCCTGCTCTATTCTCATCTTTCTTGTGGTTTCATTTCCTACCCTTCTTACCTCCTTCCAGCTTCGTCCTCCCACCACTACTAACTAATTTCTTAAGCACAGTTTCATTAAGTAATTAACACACTTACCAGCGGATCACATACCCTGCTTGGGGTGAACCATAGTCATTCAGGGTGAGATCTGTTAAACTGCTGTCGTTCCATTTGATGCACATGCCTGGGCTTCAATTCAAGGCACCCTCCCTCCCAAACTACTGAGTGGACATAACATGGGTTGCAGCAGAAGCTTCAAAAGCCTATACAGTCTATAGTATAGTATATAGTCTATAGTATAGACAGTGTCTTGCAAGACTCAGGCTGCCCCCCGGAGGGTAAGATGTGAATTCCCTATTATCCACTCTTTCCTCCTGACTTCGTCCAGGCCTTTGAGAGATTCAGAAGGATGAGAATAAGAAGGAATGACGGGAATAGAAGGGTTTTTAAAGGTTTCCTTCCACAAAACCAGCAACCCTGCTGCCAACCAAGTATATTAAAAACAATGTGCAAGGAGAAGGAATTACATATGCACCTGCTCACAGGGATGTGCCTACCCAGGTCAGGTTTTGGATGCCAAAAAAATCCCTATTTAAAACAGTTGCTGGGTCCATGAAATACTTTCCTTTTCTAGTGGTCTTGATGAATACAGTCTGCTGCTGCTTGTCAATTAATGGCAGGTTCTTTTACCTTAAGTGGTAAAGGCCTGTATTTGTGATACAGAAGTGCTGGGGTAAAGACCTCACTAATGTCTATGTTTACACAGCTGTTACAGTATGTCCCTCCAGATGGGACCTGGCTCTTGTGGTTCTCAGATGCTTGCCATCTGCTTGTCCAAGAGGGACTCCATCATCCCTGGTGTAGGGTTTAATCCAGCACCATTGAACTGAGTCAATAAGAGTTTTGCCAGTGATTTCAGTGAAGGAAAAGATCAGACCAACCTCTGGCTCTACCAGAAATGTTCTCTGTTAATGATGAATGGTTACAGTATTTACTCCCCGATCTTGGGACAATGCAATATATTTAGCTTTAAATGCCATATCTCAGCAATAGCAATGAGTGCTTTATAAATATATGTTATGAAACCAAATAATAATAATTGATTTGAGTTAACCAGATCAGAGTACAGTTAATCTGGCTCAGTATTCCCATCAGCTTTTACTGGTTCCCATACTCCACACAGGATCTCTTAAGGAATCATAAATGGTTTTGAAAGATCTATGGCCCTTTTTGTCTGAATAACACGTCTGCTAATCCGAGACAGGATGACCTCCAGTTTCATTGCTGAATAATGAGACAAGGAACGCGTTCAATCTGTTAACTAAACCGATCTCATCTGTAACAGATTTTCCATTCATGTGCATTACTGGTCAAAATGACTTTTTGCTGGGTCATTTATGTTCAACAGGAATGTCTTGCCCTATTATGTTTATCTACTTAGCAAGTTTTTATTTAATTTTCTCTTGCACTTTTTACTTCTTTATTTGCTATGAATTTATTTGCTCTCATTTTCTTAGATATTCATAACTCATTTTACCCTATTTATTGGATTTTGTATTTTTATACTCCACTGTGCTATAGACTATCTTGATTTTGCTAGTCATCCCAGTTGTGCTGTTATATATTCAGTAACTATATTGTCTCACAGGGTACAATTTGTTTGCGTGCTTTGAAATCACTTTGAAAACCACCAATATTTGACATATCTATAACGTTTTTTGATTCTACTGGCAGTATAAAAAATGCTTCAGGTTGACCTACACCACTTGGGTACTGCACCCAGGAGCACCCCGATGAAGCACATCCCACCTCCTCGCTCCTGCTCTGTGTCACTTGACTCCCACAGACAAGGCAATGGAGTTGCTTTAGAGCAGCCCTGCCCATGTGCTCAGAGCCTCTCCTAGGCTTTGTGTTTCAGACTTGCTGAGTGGCCTGTGCTCAGCGCCACCTTACGATGGCTACATTGCTCATGTCTGGGACTTTGCACGTGGAGCAGAAGCATATGGGCCACATGTGGCTCATGTGTAGACAAGCCCTTAGGTTCAGTATTAGAGGTTCTCAGCAGTTTGCCGATGAAGCTTGTTCACATCAGTAAATACTCATGTGTTGAAAGCAAAATGTGTTTTGGAAATATGTCAGTTTGATGACTCTTCTGACAGACCCTTGGTAGATTTTGAAACTTGCTTGCCAGTTTACCGTCCTGGTTTCTTGGCTGCCTACTTGAAAGACTGCCTTTGTTACCCCAGGCCTTCTAAGACCTGTTGCTCTAGGGCAGCCTCACAGTGTTGACTGCCTCAAAACTGTTTATGGTTTACAGACTATAGGCCCTGCTGGCTCCCCATGCTGCCCAACTCCCCCAGAGAGCCAGCTGCCCTGACAATTGGGCATGCCAGTGAGTCAGTTGCTCTTTCTGAAACATAATATTATTGGATTTCAGTTCCATGAAAATTGTTGAGGTTTTGACTTTTTGCCTTGATTCAGGATGATATTCCCCCCCCAGAAACACAAAAAATATTGTTAAATGGAAATTTTTCTAGCCAGCTTTATACATATTGCTGTCCAAATATGCCTCAGCATGTAAGTCTAAATTGTCCCAATATGCTGGAGCCTGTCATAATGATGTGGAGGAGAGAGGGATTTAGGCCATTATGCCACCTTTGGACTCATTACAGTAATGTTCTCCTGTCTCCTATCTAGGCCTAGTTATCCTAGCAACTGCTCAAATGAGGCACTTGGGCTGTATCCTTTTTCCAGCCCTAGAAACGTAGCCTTCAGTAGTGGTACTAGAATTATGCAGTGTCTGAACTTGGGGACTACACTTGTAGGGTGTGCATAAGGTTTTGTAGGATCAAGCCCTCTTAAGGCAAAAACCCTTTTCTGGAAGGGCCAGCAGAAGTCTTAGGCCTTGCTTAAGTCCTTCAGCTCAGCTTTGAAAACTTTAGTGGTAAATTTCCCTTATAGTGACTGTATTTTCATCCAAAGAATTGCCCATAAACTGCACAATGTATTAATTATGTTAGGTAGCATTATGTGCTTCCATTTGATGCAAGTTTATCTTTGTTTGTTTGCCACCTAACTACCCTCCACTGTACAGAGATTTGCTATTAGTAAACTAAGAGCTCATGGTACATGGCAAAAACACGAGACAGCTGGAGACAAATAGTATAGAGGCTTGGCAATGAACTATTTCTCCCTTGAAAAACCACTTACAAATTAATTCTTTTGGCAACCATTTGTGTATTTCAGCCTTCCTGCTCCCAGACATTTGGTAGCTTGTGGTTGGCTATTTGAGATGCCAGTGGACTATGACTAGCCACTGAGAAAGCTGCCAGTGATCAAATAGCAGAGTACAAAAAGAGACTGGACAGCATTGTCTTTGGAACTGAGACAGAATAAAAAATAGTAGGCATTAGTTCTATTTGGACTCAGCTATTCTCTTTTTCCATCTCCCTACATCCTTGCTCATTTGCAGCTGGTCTTGTTTATGTTTATGATGTTCTTCATTTTCCCCTCAAACCTACCATCTTCCTATTTACACCACTCTCTCTGGCATGTAGTCAGGATTTCAGTCAGCTTCATTTACTCTGGGCTTCACTGAGGCATGATTAGTAATAGTCCTGAGTCGATAATCCTAAATTTTCTTCCTCAGTCCCCAGAGTTGTCCTGTTAAATCTCCAGAGCCATTAGTTCTAGAGATGGTATGTAGTAATGCCTGGTACCTGTAAAATATTGCTAAACCTACAATTATCCTGGGTGCCTCTGCCAGAAGGGACCCCTCTCATAGGCTGTTCTTCTACAAATGATGCCCTAGCAGTGGATAACATGTTCCTGAAATACTGGGAAGCATTGCTTTTGACAGAGAAATTTTAGAAACAATAATAAAACAAATTCTGGAAGCACTCATAATTCATTGACTGCAAGACAACTACTGCTTACCTGATCCAAAAAGCCCTTGGCTTGCTAGTTTTGGTAGTGTTGGAGTAACATTTTAACCATGAACATTCAGAAATGATGTGAGGGGCAAAGATTTTTGTGGGTGATATCTTCTATTGGACCAACAGCGTGGTTAGGATACAGGTAGACAAGCTTTTGAATGCAAGGCATGCTTCATCAAACCTGCTTCTTCTGTCAGACCTGATGAAGAATGCCTTACATTCAAAAGCTTATCTAACTTTAATCTCAACCATGCAGTGGTCCAATAAAAGATACCATTCACAAAAATCTTTGCCTCTGCTTGCTATATGATTTCAGTTAGATGCAGGCTAGTATGTCCTTTGTCTGCTTCTTCCACTCCTGACTTCATGTGATTTGACTGTCAACCCCAGCACTTGTCTGCTAGTACCTGGGTAGGAACTTACTTGCATTCCATCAAACACTGCAGTAAAACCCACTGTTTCCACCTAGTTTCTTATCACTGGAATTATTCCTGTTTGGGGTAACTGTTTTCACTGCTGTAGCTATACCTTAATCCACCAGGCACATTAACTCATCCTTTCAGTCAGGCTCCAAACTCTCAATGCTTTGCTCAGTGCTTAAATATATTTTGAACCATTGATTTGTATTTTTAAAGGCACTTACAGTTGGGTCAACAGGCACTCACTAATTAGGCAAATACATGTAAGTACTGAGGTACTCAGCAGCTCAATGTTATAATGAACTTCTTAAAGATTTGGTGTCTGGCATCCTTATGCGCAATGTAAAATAGAAGAGGTTGGTGTCATTTTTTCTAGTTTAATAGAAAAGAATGTTTTTGGCTCTGCATCTATCCAACAGTTGTTGTATTGTCATCTCTAGGTAGCACTGCAATCAGATGCAGCAGGAAGTGTGTGTCCAGATGTGGCAAGTGTCTGTCCCAGGGGTGGTTGCGATGCCTCCTGGTGGCCTCTCAGTCTTTGCCAACCTGGCTGTCCTCAGG